CGGGAAGAGAACTCCATCTATCTGAGTATTGTTCAATCTACTATTTGGTAGAGCAATGGGCTTTGGCTTATCACAGGACAATATATCCTGTTCCTCATATGTCTGATTGGGTTATACCAGAAGATGTTAGAAAAAAGAAAATATTTCCTCCAGATTTTGATACGAAGAAAGGACCACCACAACAAACAAGATTTCCATCAGTAGGAGAATCCCGTGGAAGAGGAAAACGAGGCAGAGGGGGAGTTAGGGGCAGAGGCAGAGCCAGAGGAGAAGGTATGGCTTCGTATGTTGAATGTGAAAATGGTTCGGGTTCAGGTGTTTGATTACTAGTTTTATTATGTGCAATTTGGATTATTATGGATTACTAGTATTATTATGTGTGATTCGAACTACTAGAGATGTCTGGTTTTACTATGTGTAACATGGAGTACTATGGATTACTAGTATTATTATATGTATCTGGGATTACTAAGATTTACTGGTATTGTTATGTGCAATTTGATACCATTATATATATTACTATATAAATCGTTTATGACGTAAATTTAGACTATTTTTATAATTATTTTCAATTCTTAGACTATGTATATGATAAATATGTAGATGTAGATTGTTTTTGAGGATTATTTTTAAAAGTTTAAGAAAAGCTCATCATTTTCCCAAAAACCATCCTCAACTTTCAATGTAAGTGTGTGAATGGTTCGAGTATAGTAATGAGAATAAAACAAAATACGTATATCTGGTAAATTGTTTCTATAAATGTCTTACTTAACAATATTTAGTAGGTAAAATCATTGGTTTTACTACAAAAAATTCCATTTTGTGAAGGTTTTACTAGATAAACCTAAAAATTTGCCAAAGTATTACTATGTGTATAGTAGTATTACTACTACCTTGAGGATTACTAAGTGTTAAATATAACATAAAATATTTATGACGGTGCACGTTTTACATGTGAAATTCATTTTTTAATTTATTTTTTATATATTTAGGCGTTTTACACGTTTTACATGTGAAATTCATTTTTAATTCATTTTTATAGTGATTTTTGGGCATAGTAATTCCAGTTATTCAAGTTATCTAGTAAACCTAGTAATTCAAGTTATCTATTAACTCATTTTTGGCCAGAGTAACACTTATAAATTTAGTTTTCCAGACCTGTCTATTGCAACACACAACACACAAATTCTGCTACCATGTTTTAAACACACCAAAAGCAAAACAAAGCATTCTCCTACCAAATTTCAAACATCAGAAATAATTAAATAAACACATAGGCCTTTGTTTTAGGCTTCTTCACCGGCTTCAGCCTTTGTTTTAGACTTCTTCACTGGCTTCTTCCCCGCCGTGAAAGGAGTCTGCACCCACCTTGATGGTTCACGCTTCCTCTTCGCCTTCTTAGGTGCTTCCTTGGTCTCAGCTGTCCTCTCGTCATTGGTCGTATCCATCTCAACCTTCTTAGGTGCTTCATTGGTCTCAGCTCTCCTCTCGTCATTGGTCATATCCATCTTCTCCTCACTGGCCTTGTAAACGACCATGGCCCAACTATCCATCTGTTCCTCGACAACATTCTCAGCTTCTTTCTCTTTTTGCTCTTCTTCCACAACAACTTCTTCATTGTTTTTTATCTCTGCTTCCACTTTTTCTTCTTCTTTCTCACCCTCTTTGTCCTTCTCTTCAGTTTCAGAATCCTCCACTTTTTCTTCTTCTTTCTCACCCTCTTTGTCCTTCTCTTCAGCCTCAGAATCCTCCACTTTTTCTTCTCCTTTCTCACCCTCTTTGTCCTTCTCTTCGTCACTATTCTCCTTTTCTTCGTCACTGTTCTCCTTCTCTTCTTCACTATCAGCAGCTTCTTTCTCCTCTTCTTCAGCATCAAGCTTCCTCCAAAATTCTTCTCCTTTCTCACCCTCTTTGCCCTTCTCTTCTTCATTGTTTTCAGCCTCTTTCTCCTTCTCTTTTTCACTGTCTCCAACTTCTTTATCCTTCTCTTCCTCACTGTTCTCCTTTTCTTCCTCACTGTTCTCCTTCTCTTCTTCACTATCAGCAGCTTCTTTCTCCTTCTCTTCTTCAGCATCAAGCTTCCTCCAAAATTCTTCACTTTGTACTCTACTTCTTTCTCTCACTTGGTCCAATCTTCGCATTTCCTCATCAGACTCTACTTCCTCATCGGACTCTACTTCCTCATCGTTTTCTTTATCTTTTTCACCTTCTTGGTCACTGTTGTCTTTCCTAGCCTCTTCATCTTTGTCTTCAAAATAGTTACTATCCCACTGTCGAAAATCCACGTCTTCACCATCTTCACCATGATTCTGCTTCTCACTGACCTTACTCTCAATAGGAGCTAGCCTCTTCTCTATTTTCTTAGCCCTTTTACACAAAAGTTTCTGGTTTTTTTCCATTCCAGTCAGCCTCAAATCCATAGAATCCATCTTTGTCTCGACTGTTAAGTTAAGTCCAAATAATGCTTCCCCCATAAACTCCAAAATCCTCTCTTCCATACGCTGCAAGCTCGAATCAGAGGATGATGCTTCCACCTTTTTTTTGTCTTTCTTTTTTGTAAACACGCGTGCAGCCTGATCCTCATTATAAAGCTCTTCCCACCAAATAGTCTTTTGCATCTCAATTAACCAGTGGTTCCACGTATCGCTTGGGCTACCCTGACGGTCATACTCTCGTTCCTGATCAACTATACGAGCCAACAACATTTCCTCGCCAATAGTTGGAACCAACACACTAGTAATGTCCTGAAAATAAAACAATATATAACATCAGTTACATGTCTGAAAATGTATCTTTGTTTCTGAAAATATAAACAATAAATATGCAGCTTGATCTAAATCATATAGACCTCAAAATGTACCTTTGTTTCTCCAAGCACAGAATATATATCTTCCAACGGATAACCCTTCAGACTGCCCTTTGTAAACCGGCTCTTGCACATCCTTGGACAGTCTTTACAAGGATTGTCTGGATATATTCTAAAATGTTTCCCCAGAACATGAATACTCTCAAAAGCCAGAACCTATATCCAGTGTCACAATGTTAAATTTTCAATTATTAAACAACTAAAACTTTACTAAACTTTATGCTTTACCTCTAAAGGGATTATGAAACCAGGAAAGGCGACTGCCTCATTCACTTCACCCTTCAGAAGGTTCATCACGTGCTTAATCTCCTTTATTGCATCGTCAAATGTCAGCCGACCCCAGGGAAATGATCTGCAAGCATCCAAATCCTCCACCATCCTTAATATGAAGGAGTCTAAAGGTCCAGTATCCTTTGCCTTTCCTCTGATAACCGTACCAAGGAAAAATAACACAGCCATCTTCAATCTATCTGCACACGGCTGCATAGACAACAACTTCTGCTTCACATCAGTGATGGTGATCTTACTTATATCACGGAAGTGATACTCCACAAACTTATTACTCCCAATCTTCTTATAATTCCTCGGATAGCTACTGCAGTCTAAACCAGAGATGAGGGCATGCTCCCTCAGAGAATAGCGGATGGGTACACCATTAACCGCAAACCATGCAACATCATCTTCTGGAGTACAAATGGTGCGCATGAGTAACATCCACATCCCTTGGAGCTTCAGGTTTGGTTCTTCTGGCATGTGAAAGAAGTGTCGAAACTGCGGATGGCTTGTGAACCATTCAAGCTCATCATCCTTGAGCTTCGACTTGATGCATTGTGTTGTCTTGCTCACTAAGCACTTGGTTTGTATCTTGCAAGTCTTCGTGAACTCGCTGCTTTTGAAGTAGAACTCAAGGGGTTGCATCGGTTGCATTTCCTGCAATCAAAATACATATATAAAATATTAGTAATGCTAGTTATCTGTAATGCTAGTATTACTAGTAATGCTAGTATTACTAGTAATGATAAGTAATGCTACTAATACTAAGTAATTCTAGTAATACAAAAGAACTACAAAGACAGTGAAAACAACTATACCTCAGACGAAGGACCAGCCATGTCTTCATTTTCTGGGCTAGGTGAGGCTGAGAGCGATACCACACTTGGTTCTCTCACTGGTGTAGTCTTCTTAGTCTTCTTACCCTTCTTAGTCTTCATTCTGATTCTAAGAGATTGACGACGCCTTTTATTGGGGACTTCACTTTGCTTTTCCTTCATAACTTCCCTATACAAGAGACGACATTACAACTCAATTACAACACAAACACATCAATTTAACAATACAACAGTTTCATGATACTAGCATTACAACACAAACACATCACCAAATTCGATTCAACATAAGACATCACTCCTTTAAACACCCGAAAATCGATTCAACATAACCCAAAATTCGCAAGCCATTTCGGTCCCACTAACAAAGTTATATATAATCTAAGATTTCACCCGATTTTTCCCCTATATACAAACCCAAAACACGATCTTCACACTCCTAATTACAACATGCAACTTTTCCCTAATTTTATTTGACCTAATTTTAAAATCAAATCCTTTTTTAATCAAATCAAGAGATAAGTCATTAAAAGGTAGGAGAATGAGATTACCTCGAAGGAGAATCGATTAGAGATCTCGATTTTGATGGAAACAGAAGAAGAAACTCGAGTCGGGAGAGGAGTCACCCTTTGCTTTGCTATCGCCGTCGAAAGAGAGGGAGAGAGAGGAGAAAACTGAAAAAAAGAAGAATAACGAAAAACGACGTCGTTTTAGTCATTAGGTTAAAATTCTGGTTTGACCCGCATGGTATTGGGTCGGGTCGTCGGATATTAGGTTGGATCTATGTAATAAGTGCATTTGGTTAAGGGTATAGACGTATTTAACTAGGTTTTGAATTTAAATAATATATTTTTTATTATTATTATATATTGGTGGGACAAATTAGAAAATTTAAGAGGGGTAGAGGGTAATTGGAGTTAATATCCTTTGAAAAATACCTTTGCGCTACATATGATCCGTAGCCTGGTAACTCTACCGCTTCCAATAAAGCGTTTCGCGATTCAGTTTTAAGTTGGCGCGATCTCCTCCAAATCTGTTTCTTCACAGACGACTTGGTGGCTGCGTAAAACACCGGAACCACCGCGAAACCGTCGTCGTTTCTCCGGCGTCCGGAAATTTTGACGAGATCCTCCAGGCACGGCTTCGATGACAAGTATTTCTCAGAGAAAACCACTACACAAGCTCTCGAGTTCTCCAGGCACTGTTTGGATGATCCATTGCTTTCCGGATCGGATCCGTCTCCTCCGCCGATGTAAGAGGATATTCCTCTGCGGTGAAAAGCGGCGGAGAGGTGGCTGATGAAGGAGTACCGCACCTTATCCTCTCTTCTATTGAAGCTGATGTACACTTCCACCATGATCAGACTCGTTTTAGGTAACTCTCGTTTATCCTTTTTTGCCCTAGATTCGTGTAAATTTGGATTTGAGCTTCTAAACTGGGTCAAAAGTCTAGTTTAGTGAGTCGCCATTAACGAGTATAGACCGAGTCGGTAGAATTTTCTTGGAAGATTCGTTTTCTTTTGCAATAATTTGATTGATTATATGGTCCTTTTCACATTGTTCACTGTCTATGGAAGAAGTCATAGCCAAACTAAGATAAGATAATATCTTTTTGCAGCAAGAAAGAAAGAGACTCTTCCTTCTTCAACTTGATGTTGATTACAATAAACTAAAATGATAGAGATAAGCTGTGACTTGTTTAACTCGTATCTTGTTTTTTTTTTCACTGTAGAACTAGTCCAAGATTTGAATAAAAAGAAGAGAATCTTTAATTGAGATGTTTGCAGCCATGTTATGTATCTCCAAAGGAGACTAAAAACACATTTTGTCTCCTAACAAGGTGAGATGGAGGAGGCGTCTTCCTCTTCCTCTTCCAAAGTCAAGGCACCACTTCCTTTGCCTCCGCAGCACCAAGTGTTTGTAAACTTCAGGGGAGAGGAGTTGCGGTACAACTTCGTTAGCCATCTCAGAAATGCGATGGTCAGAAATGGGGTCAACACATTCATTGACACGAATGAGAAAAAAGGAAACTCTTTGAATGTGCTTTTCGAGAGGATTGAAGAGTCAAGGATCGCCTTGGCCCTCTTTTCTGTAAGGTACGCCGAGTCACAGTGGTGCTTGAACGAACTGGTGAAGATGAAAGAATGCATGGAAAAAGGCAAACTCCGCGTCATTCCCATCTTCTACAAAGTCAAAGCATACGAAGTTCGGTTTCAGAGGGGACGGTTCGGTGATGTGTTCAAAAATAAAAATTTGCGCCATGTTGACAAGAAGAAGCAGTGGTCTGAAGCTTTAAACTCTGTAGCTGACCGGATCGGCTTCTGCTTCAACGGAAATAGGTACCATTTTTTGGCAGTTTCTTCTAGTGTATGTAATTCATCGAGACGAATGGTTAGAGATTTTATTCATGGTTTGACTTTCAACATATAATCTAGAGGATCTTTGTACTTGGTTGTTTTATTTCTTCTTAATTATCTTTTTCTGCAGCGACGAGAACATATTCATCAACGGTATCGTCAAAGAGGTCAAGGAAGCGCTGAGCAAAATTCAGTTGGATGAAAGCAAAGACAACTCTGTTTTTCTTTCAAAAGACACTTCATTGAGATTAGGAAGAGAAAGCCATGAGATTTATGGACTCAAGCAACGCTTGGAAGAATTGGAGGAGAAGTTAGATCTTGACTGTCAGGAAACTCTTATTTTGGGAGTTGTTGGGATGCCAGGCATTGGTAAAACCACTCTTGCAAGGGAGTTATATGAAACTTGGCAGGGGAAATTCGTACGTCACGTGTTAATCCAAGATATTCGTAGAACATCCAAGGAGCTCGGGTTGGATTGCTTGCTTGCATTACTCTTGGAAGAATTACTCGGTGTAAGTAATCCAGACATAAAATCTTCTCAAGGCACGTACGCATCCTACAAGTGTAAACTACTCAGCCATAAAGTTCTCATTGTTCTCGACGATGTGAGTGACAAGGAGCAGATAGATGTTCTTCTGGGGAAATGCGACTGGATTAAGCAGGGAAGTAGGATAGTCATTTCAACAAGCGACAAGTCACTAATCCAAGATGTTGTTGACTATACTTATGTTGTCCCACAGTTAAACCACAAAGACGGATTAGGTCACTTTGGGCGTTATGCTTTTGACCATCATTCCAACAAGCAACGCAATGAAGTAATCATGAAGCTATCAAAAGAGTTTGTGCATTATGTTAGAGGTCATCCGCTAGCTCTTAAGTTGTTGGGCGAAGATCTTAAGGGGAAAGACGATGATTATTGGAAATCATTATTGGCAACACTCGCACAGAATGCCTGCATGTGTATTCGAGATGTGTTGGAAGAAAGCTATAACGAGTTGAGTCAAGAGCACAAAGAGATATTTCTCGACATGGCTTGTTTTAGAACTGAAGATGAGACTTATGTTGCAAGTTTACTGGATACATCTAAGGCCGCAAGTGAAATAAAAACTCTCATGAACAAATTCATGATAGATGTTTCTGATGGGCGAATAGAGATGCATGATTTAATATATACCTTCGCCAGGGAAATTTGCCGAAGAGCATATGCTCAAGATGGAAATGGGGGATATAGGTTGTGGCATCAAGAAGACATAATTGATGTGCTAAAGAACGTAGAGGTGAGCTTAAGAGAAACTTTTATTTTTATTTTATAAAGTTGATCAAGAGTGCATTCTATCATGAACAATACATTTGATTTTTGATGTCTTGTTTAACAGGAAGGCGAGAAAGTTAGAGGGATTTTCCTAAACATGGATGAAATGAAGAGGGAGATAAGCTTAGACAGTTGCACCTTTGAACCAATGCACGATCTCAGATACCTCAAGATCTATAGCTCAGGTTGTCCTCAGCAATGTAGACCTAGCAATAAGATAAACCTCCCTGATGGACTAAAATTTTCTTTGGAAGAAGTTCGTTATCTCCACTGGCTGGAGTTCCCATTGATGGAAGTTCCACCAGATTTCAATCCTCACAATCTTGTGGACCTTAAGCTTCCTTACAGCAAGATTGAACAAATCTGGAGTGATGATAAGGTGTCTCTCTCTCTGTGTTTGACTATATGACATAAATGGATAGGATTTTACTGGTGTCTAACTATTTTGTCGTCACAGGATACATCAAAATTGAAGTGGGTCAATCTCAACCATTCCAGTAACTTGCGCGACTTGTCAGGCTTATCAAAGGCTCAAAATCTGCAAAGACTGAACCTTGAAGGTTGTACGAAAATGGAAACTTTACCCCATGATATGCAACATATGAGAAGTCTTCTTTTCCTGAACCTGAAAGGGTGCACAAGTCTCAACTCTCTCCCGGAAATAAGTTTGGTCTCTCTAGAAACTCTCATCCTCAGCAACTGCTCAAACCTGAAGGAATTTCGGGTGATCTCACAAAATCTGGAAGCTCTATACTTGGATGGTACTTCAATAAAAGAACTTCCTCTGGATATCAAAATACTCGAGAGACTTGCCTTATTGAATATGAAAGGATGCACGAAGCTGAAGAAGTTTCCTGATTGTCTTGATGACTTGAAAGCTCTCAAAGAATTGATACTCTCAGATTGCTCGAAGCTCCAAAACTTTCCTGAAAACGGCGAAAACATCAAGGTTTTAGAGACATTGCGATTGGATGCGACAGCCATAACTGAGACTCCGAAGATAGCCTCACTACAATGTTTATGCTTAAGCAAGAATGATCAGATCATCTCCCTTCCAGATAACATCAGTCAACTCTCTCAACTAAAATGGTTGGACTTGAAGTATTGTAAGAGTCTTACATGTATTCCAAAGCTTCCACCAAATCTGCAGCACTTAGATGCGCATGGCTGTTGCTCACTTAGAACAGTTTCGAATCCACTGACATGTCTTCCGACAACTCAACAAATCTGTTCCACATTCATTTTCACGAACTGCAACAAACTCGAGATGAGTGCGAAGAAAGATATATCTTCCTTTGCTCAAAGGAAATGCCAGCTACTTTCAGATGTACAAAACTGCTACAATGTAGTTCCCATGATCTCTATCAACAAATTTTCCCGTGTTTCACAAACAGTCACGTTTCTTATGATTTTCCTTGTGTATATCTTTGCAGGTTTCTGATTCGGAGCCTTTGTTCAGTACTTGCTTTCCTGGAAGTGAACTACCTTCGTGGTTCGGTCATGAAGCCGTTGGATCTATGTTAGAGGTGATAATGCCTCCACATTGGCACGACAATGGGCTTGCTGGTCTAGCTTTATGTGCTGTTATCTCATTTCCAGACTCCCAAAAACAAATCAAACCATTGTCAACGAAATGTACATTCAAGCTAGAAGTAAAAGAAGGTTCGTGGATCGAATTTTCTTTACCAGTTGGAAGTTCGAGTAATGAGGAAAATATTGCATCAGAGCATGTCTTTATAGGGTATACCAGTTGTTCGAAGATCTTTAAACGTCTTGAAAACCAGAATTTTATCAGCTCTGATCCTACGAAGTCATCCACTTTATCTAGTAACTGTAGTCCTACCAAGGCCTCCCTTCAATTCACGGTCACAGATGGTACGAGCAAGATACCAAGGCTTGAGGTGCTCAAGTGTGGCTTAAGGTTAGTTCACTGATTGGAGCGATTTAAAACGTTTTCTTTGAAGTCTAGAGTTTCTTATTTATTTTTAACCGGCTTAATTTCCTTTTTTTAATCATGTTGCAGGTTATTTAGAGGTGGTGGGAACAGTGGAGGGTATTTAAAGAAGCTGGAAGTGAAGGAAGCTGAACAGAATTTAAGTGCACAAAAGTTATCAGATTATCGAACGAGTGAATCAGGTACCACTACAGAGGTTGCTGAAAATGGTAACAGTGCTGAACAGAGCCCAGAGACGGTTACCACAGAGGTTACGACTTCACCACAAAGTGTTAACAATGCAGGATTGGGAATCGAGACATCCATAACCTCACGTGCAGCTCAACCACACCCATGTAATAAAACTTCGAAATGGGTATGTTTTGCTTGTTGTGACTTCCAAAAACATCCATGAACAATGGAAGAAAGTGATAGCACCAGTCTAGAGAAAAGTAGCCAAGAATTTCCAGTGACATGAAAGATCCCAAAGATTCGGAGACTTGGTGTGTTTGTAAGAAGAAACCAACGACTTTGGGATTTAAAATAGGATGGTTTGCTTTGTACTCACCGGCATGGATATTTTTGGTCCTTCGGGTATTAAGTTCTTCATTGTTGTGTGAACTCGTTTTAAATTTGAATGTGTGGATGGGTTTCGTTAGTGTGTCCTGGAGTCTTATTTCAAGCTCTAGCCAAAGCATAAAGGCTCTGGAATTTTGATGGTTTGTTTGTTTAGTTTTCGTTTTAATCTTATTATCTTCTTTTTTTCTTTTGTTCCCAAGCCTTTTCTTGTTGACCGGAATTTATCAAAATCCCATTTGCAGTCGAGTGGCCATTTTCTTTTAGCCTCTTATGCTCCTTGTCTCCTCTTTGGAGAGAAAGTCAACCTTTACTTCCGTTGATGGGTCTAAGTAGTTAGGATTGAGTTAAGTTTCTCTTTTGGATTAATCAATTTTTTTCTACGTAAGAAATTTCAGTTAGTTAAGCTAGTAGCGGTTAACACTTGAAGTATACTCTTGCCGCTAACATTCCACTCACTGAGTGTTAGTACAAATGAATCCGACGACATAAGAAAGACTGGGCGTCACCAGCTTTTCATATGAGGGAAGGTGGATTATGGATGGTGTGCTTTTTCTTCTGATGAATGAATACATGGGAAGCACACAGTCTCCCTGCGCCTAGTATGATTTTGTTTGTGTCTCTACCAATGGATATGTTTTACCTGTGCACAGAGACAATAATTTGTGTCTAATTTTCTGCAAGTGAAAGCAGGTAACATTGTATCATCGATGATCACAAAAAGTAATTTAGACTTCCAGAGATAGAGACCGCCCAAGAGAAAAGCACACAGAACACGTACCCTTTAACTCTGGTGTTTTCGCAGTGTCAGCTGTCGTGAAGGGTAGTTCGCTGGAAGAACCTGCAATAGTAAAACACAGCATAATAATGAAAAATTCCATCAACTCAAAGTAAAACCTACTGGGACAAAACAGTACAGGTGAAGCAGAGACTAATTGTCAGGGAATATAGCTATAATGTGTAAAAATGATGCGCTTAATACTTTTGAGTCAGCAATGAGGCAATTGATAATTTCTATTCATGTACTTATCATTAGACACAAACTATGTTCTGTTGTTGGATGTTATGTCTTGAGACAGTGCTTGCAGCGTGGGTTCAGGCTGAAGTATCCCCGCATAACAATCAGAGCATTAGCATCTTCTGCTCCAATTCTTCATTTAGATAACATCGTGCCGTTGACGAGCTTCTATGATGCCATTTCTCAAGATTGCAAGGTGTTGTATGAACTAATCATAAACCTATTTTACAAACAGGATGCTAGTGATAATTGTTTCAAAGTCATCAAAAGAAGCTGGGAAGAGCTAGATACAATCTCCAACATGAAACATGGCTTTCCAGAACTCAGCAAATAGTTCAGAACTTGCAAGTAAATTGTTGGTTAAAGCTTAGTGAAACTCATTCTTTGTTCTCCAAACTCTAATAAAAGGTTTAATCAGATTTGTTTTACTTGTAATTACAGAGGTCTTTATTCAAAATATTCAGCCAGAGATTGATTAATGGGTCAATTTGTTTATACAGCCATGGTTAATTTTGCGACCGCAACTAATTTCATGACTTCACTGCCTGGTTATCCAGTGGAATAATCATTTATGCCAAAGTGTTTAATCAAATAATCTCTTCTTGTTTAGACCAGTATTTTTTTTTGTGCATCTGAAGTGTAAGATCATCGACCAGTTCCCTAGAGGATCAAGTAATCTTGACCATGCCTTCGCTGCTGCAAGCTTATACTACAACTATCCGGGATCAGGAAAATGCTTTGAGCTTGAACACCCAACTTAAGACTTTCCTTTAGATAATAGAACGTCAGAACACAAGATGAATATATTGACATGGTCTAAAGATGTAATTTGCTAAGATGTTCTGTGTCAGTTCGTGAAGTACTACGGGAGGTAGTACATGTGTGTATGTCATGAAGATGGGCTAAGCTGGAGTTTGAGTTTTGTGATGTACGTGGACTTGATGAGCTTGGAAAAGGAAAGATAATATGTGGCTGAAGACATATGGACGTTTTCCATAAAGCAAAAGAGAGTTTGCTTGAAAATGAAGTTTTCCGTTAAGGAAAATGGAAAGTTACCTTATATGTATTGGAAAGACTTGGAGAGCAAGTGGAAGACTTGGAGAACGAGTTAAAGACGTGGAGAGCAAGTTCTGGTCTGCTATATAAGGAGGGACGTGCCTTATGAGAAAAAGCAGACCATATAGAAGAGAGAGAGAGGTTTCCTTGGTGTGTGTTACTGCTTGGTGTCGAAGCAGTGTCTGAAGTAGTTTCCGATGGAGTCCGATGTGGACTTAGTTTGGTGCCCTTGGTGTTGGAGTTTTGTGTGGTGGAGTTTCCATCGTGTGTAGCTCGTGGTGAGCTTTGTGTGTGCTTGGGTGATCAAGCGTTTGGTGTCACTGGTGTGCGTTTGGTGCTGACGTACTTGGTGAAATAATTACGAGAAGTGGAAGATTGAAGCCTAGACTCGGGGAGTTTAGCAAATGCGGTTTTATTGAAGAGGTCTGTGAAGATTGCAGCTGTAGAAGACAGTGTGCTCTGGCGCGCCCAGATGGTGTTGTATGCATGAGTGCTGATACCTAATCTTTGTAGATTGCTTCTTAGAAAAGAGTGGTAAACACTAGTGTGTGTGTTGTACCATATATCAATTGTAGGTTGCTCCTTGTTCTAAGTCAATAAAATCTGGAGTGGATCCCGGGGATGTAGGAAACGAACCCCGTTAACAAATTTGATGTGTCTTACATTCTGCACTATGTTTTTCGTCGCCCCTTCTACATCAACAATTGGTATCAGAGCGGGTTACCTAAGTTACTGGTGAGATCATGGAGGATGAGGACGAAATCTGGTTCAGGAAGAAGGACAAAGTTTGTATGAAGATCGATGAAGATGGTGTCATGCGGTTTCTTCCTTGGTTTGGAAGGTGCTGATCTTCTAATTGGTTTTTGACCATGATGTGACTCATAGGGGGAGATTGAAGATGTAGCTTTCAAGCTCGTTATGATGAGTGCACATATATAGTCAAAAAGGGGGATATTGAAGATGTAATTTGTTGAGATGTTCTGTGTCGGTTCGTGAAGTATTACAGGAGGTAGTACATGTGTGTATGTCATGAAGATGGGCTAAGCTGGAGTTTGGGTTTTGTTATGTGCGTGGATTTGATGAGCTTGGAAAAGGAAAGATATAATGTGACTGAAGACATATGGACGTTTTCCATAAAGCAAAAGAGAGTTTGCTTGAAAATGAAGTTTTCCATTAAAGAAAATGGAAAGTATTGGAAAGACTTGGAGAGCAAGTGGAAGACTTGGAGAACGAGTTAAAGACGTGGAGAGCAAGTTCTGGTCTGCTATATAAGGAGAGACGTGTCTTATGAGAAAAAACAGACCATATAGAAGAGAGAGAGAGAGGTTTCCTTGGTGTGTGTGATATGCTCAAATTAACCTTCAAGCTACTCTCAAATAAGAGGTTCGATGTAGTACTTGAGGATCGAATCCACAGAGACCAAATCTTACACTTTATTTCTATGGGATCAAAATTTAGCTAAAACAATATGGTTTTTAAATTAAGAAAATAAAAAAGCAAATAAAAGAGAATGATTTGGGTTGGGTTTTCAAATTAAAGAGAATGCTAGCCTAGGGTTGTTTCATCGGATGTTACAACTTGTGAGCCAAACAATTATTCAGGTTTTTTGAAGACCTAGTCTAGAATTCGGATCACTTAAGATAGATCAGCCCACTATCGTGGTGCTTCACATTTTGTCAATCGATCTCAGCACCTAAACTCTCGTTTGGACTGAGACACGATCACAAAGGACTTAAGATTCTTTGGGATAACCTGAATATCCTCAAGATCTAGGCAACGAGACATATCAAGAAACTTTGAGGTTTTCCAAATAAACCATGATTGACTCAGACAAGTCATCCATATCCAAGAACTTGTGACCTCCATGATCATAAGTAAATGAGTTATCCTTTGAAGAGAGGGTCACAGTTGGTATTGATCTTATGCCAGTTTGTTTGAGATACAACTCCTCAATATTAGGTGGACCCTTTGGGGAACTTTTGATCTTTGTGCAACCAGATAGATTTATCACCCGGAGATGATGAAAGCGGCTTGTATCTATAAATCTTTGTAGTTTTGTACAACCTTGGAGATCAAGTACCTCAACGTTTAGAGCATTTTGAAGTTCTTGAATATCAACTAGCTGTCTTGAATGACAAAGTTTGATAATCTTCAGCATCTCAAGTTCTTGGAAAAAAAAATTTAAAATATTAAAAAAATAACAAAGCCGTTGTTATAGTAAATGGTACTATTTTATTTTTCTTACCTTGGTTCCTTCCCAAAGTCTCTGAAGTTGACTGGAACACATGTTAAGTACTACAAGATTCCTAGGGTCAAAACCTTGTGGTAAATATGACAAAAAATGGAAAAAATTTCCAGTGCAATAACCTTAACTCATCTGGTAGAGATTCAAGTCCCTTGGGAAGGTGTAGTGTAGAATAGCTTCCAGGATTGTAAATGCAAATCTTTAGATATCTAAGATTGTACATTTTCTCAAATGCCATAGGGATCAAAGCTTAAGACATAGTCCAGAGATATTGCTTCGATATCTTCACTTCCCTGAAACAACAAAGTGAAAGAAACAATATAGTGAAACGACAGCGTATAATAGTAGACATCATAGTGAAAAGAATACAAGACCGGTTTAGTTTAAGTTGAAAAATATAACCGTCAGGAAATGCAAGGCCGGTTCAACTCAAAATAAATCGAACCAGTTTTTGAACTATCTTGTTAGGAAATGCAAGCCCGGTTCGACTCAAAATCGATTGGCTCAGTTTTTTAAAAATATAACCGTTAGAAAACGCGTCGTCCACACACAAAAATATAAACGTTAAGAATCTGTGTGTGTAGTCTATTTATTTGCCAACATTATTCACAAACTCTTCGAAGATCTGCAAAAACAGAAAATCCGATTACAATCTTAGACTAGTAAGTGTTTCACTCTCTGTAAATCGTGAATCTGTTTTGAGGATTTCAGAGTTTAGATCGCGATTTTTTCTTCTGGATCGCGATTGTTTAATCTTTGCTTCTTGATTTGATTTTTTTTTGGTTTTCTTTTGAAGGTTGATTCCGCCTGAAACGGGATTGTGATTGTTTGGGTTTCTCACTCATCGTCGAGGTACGTCTCGTAATTAGGGTTTCATAAGTTTCATGTATTAGATTATTAGAATCATGTGGTTTAGTAAAATCATGTGGTTTAGTAACTGGTTTAGCTTCTATTAGATTATTAGAATCATGTGGTTTAGTAAAATCATGTGGTTTAGTAACTGGTTTAGCTTCCCTTTACTAAACCGGTTATGTATATATACAGAAGTTTGTACATTGTAAACGATGACTTGAGTAAATACATTTTTACATTTTCTATCTGTAACTAACTTTCCCTTTACTCTCATCATCAAAAGCTCAAGTTCTAATATGGTATCAGAGCTGTGAATCTCGCTTTCACACTCATTTTCTCGGGAAAATCAGAGATTTCTCGTCGATTCTCGCTATTTCTCTCTCTCGATGAGTCTTTCTTTACGAGATTTGGAGAAATTGTTTGTTGAACTCTGTTTTCTTGAATTGTTTGCGATTTATCACTACATCTCTGTGCTAATCGCGCTTCTGATTTCGTTTTCATCTTCTTATTGACCTTTGATTTGCGTCTCTTTTCTTGCGCAATCGTTTTCTTTTGATTCTTGTTGGATCTTGTTGCCGTTATTAACTTCTTGATGGCTAATCCTACGGAGAATCGTCCTTCGTCTGTCACCGATGAACATCTTGCACCGTCGGCGTCTATGGGTGATCCTAACTCAAATCCGCTCTATGTTCACTACGCGGATCATGCTGGTATATCTCTTGTCTCTGAGAAACTAGCTGGAATTGGTAACTTCAATACTTGGCGTAGATCGATGCTTATGGCTTTAGGTGCTAGAAATAAGGCTGTATTTGTTGATGGAACCTATCCTGAGTTAGATGAGAATCATGCTGATTATGCGTCTTGGTCACGTTGCAACAACATTGTTTGCACTTGGATTGTTAATGCTGTTGAGAAGAAGATTGCTAAGAGTATCATGTATCTGGATACGGCTCGCCAGATGTGGTTGGATATTCATGACCAGTTCAAACAAAGCGATGGACCAAGGACTGCAGAGATCAAGCAACAGATTTTTGCTGAAATACAAGGATCTCAGAGTGTGAGTGATTACTATACGAAATTGAAGCAGTTGTGGGAAGAGTTGAAGAACCATGAGAGTCCTTATATCTGTTGTTGTGGTCGCAATGACTGTGCTAGTCTCAAGAGGATTGTTGATAGAGAGGAGCAAGATCACATTTTGAAGTTCCTTACTGGCCTCAATGATACGTTCACTGCAACTAGAGGTCAGATACTGATGCTGGAGCCGAGGCCAAACATTTCGAAGGTGTTTAATCTAGTCTCTCAAGAAGAACGACAGAGGTCGATGAAGAGTACTAGTGAAGTGGCTTGTAATGTCTCTCGGAGTAATGCTGAAGACTCCTTGGTGGCAGCTTATACAGGAGGATATAACAAGCACAAGCCACGTCCTATCTGTTCTCACTGTGGACTTGCAGGACATACGGTTAACCGCTGTTACAAGCTCCATGGTTATCCACAGGGATACAAACCATCTTCTACTAGGCCTCAAAATCAAGTCCAGAATTCAGGTCAACCGAAAGCTTCCCAGACTTTGCCTCCTCACAAAGACAATGTTGCCAATATGGTTATTCAGGATTCGGGTGGTATCTCTCTACACAGTCAACAGGGTGTTCACTTGGGTACAGTTACACAAGAACAAGTCCATCAACTTCTCAATGTCTTGAGTACTCGACATACTCCTTCTATAGACAACGTTTCTCAGATTTCTGGAAGTCACATTCAACTCTCAGATGGAACAGTTTCTACTTCCAAACCTCAACCTCACCTGCTTACTCACATGTCATCTGAAATTCCTCCTTCAGGTAACACGACTAACTTTCATTTTATTTCTGCGGGAATGAAGAACGGCCTTACTATTCTTGCTCCCACTTGGGTTATTGATACTGGTGCTAGTTGCCATGTGTGTTCTGACTTGACAATGTTTTCTTTGACTAACTCAATTAGTAACACAACTGTAACACTTCCTGATGGCACTCGTATATCTGTTAATCTTTCTGGTACTATCAAACTTACTTCACGACTAACATTGGTTAATGTGATGTATATACCTCATTTCAAGTTCAATCTTCTTAGCATTAGTGCTCTAACTAGGAATAGTACCATGACTGTTCTGTTCTCTGCATATGATTGTTACATTTTTCCTGATAATCCGTTTCTCAAACTTCAGGAGCATATTCAGGATTACATGATTGGGAAGGGTAACCTCCACAACAATCTCTATGTCCTGGATACTCCATTTTCATCCGAAAATACATCTTCTCTTAACATCCTAGACTCACATACTACCTTGTCTCAACATCACACGCTTGATCATCACGTTTCATTGGTTGATTCTGAAGTTTGGCACAAACGATTAGGACATCCATCTCACCAAAAGATTTAAGTGCTTTCAAAGTTTTTAAAGTTTTCTTCTGTTAAAACTGATCATTCTAGTTTGTGTAAGATTTGCCCTTTGGCTAAACAAAAACGAGTTGTATTTCCTTCTAATCCTCATATGTCGAATAAACCTTTTGACTTGATCCACATTGATGTTTGGGGTCCTTTCCAGACTCCAACACATGATGGATACAAGTACTTTTTTACCTTAGTTGATGATTGTTCTCGTGTGACATGGATTTACTTGTTAAAAGATAAAAGTTCTGTTTCTGTTGTCTTTCCTGAGTTCCTCCAATATGTTAAAACCCAATACAACTCTAACATCAAAGCAATAAGATCTGACAACGCACCTGAACTTGCATTTCATTCTCTTCTTAAAACTCATGGTATAGTCCATTTTTTCTCATGTCCGTATACACCTCAACAGAACTCAGTAGTTGAACGCAAACACCAACACATTCTTAATGTTGCTCGAGCTCTTTTGTTTCAGTCTAATGTTCCTTTACCTTATTGGGGAGAATGTATCCAAACTGCAGTTTATCTCATTAACCGTACTCCTTCACCTCTTCTTGACAACAAATCTCCTTTTGAAGTTTTGACAAATCAAAAACCTTCTTATGAGCATTTACGTGTCTTTGGTAGTTTGTGTTTTGCGTCGACTTTGATAAAAGATCGAGATAAATTTAGTCCACGTGCTATACCATGTGTGTTCCTTGGCTATCCTAATGGTATTAAAGGTTACAAACTTTTACATCTTGACTCTCATAATATCTCTGTTTCTCGGAATGTTGTGTTTCATGAGTCTGACTTTCCTTTCTCTAAACAAAAATCTCCTCCTGGTTTGTCAACTTTCTTTGATCAGGATGTGCTTCCTATGCATGTTCCTGATTCTCCTTTTCCTGCTTTCTTTGATCTTGGCAATGACATTTCTGATCCTACTCTTTTCCATAACACCTCTGATACTGCAGTTCCTACTTCTTCTTCTTCAAATCATTCTTCTTCTATATCTCCTCAGTCGCTCTCTGAGAATTCTAATCCTCCTAACCATTCTCATCAAACTCGTTCTAAACGTCAAACAAGAACGCCAGCTTATCTTGATCAATATCACTGTTTCTTACTTGGTCAACAACCTTCCTTTTCAACTCATCCAACTCATACAACACCTTATCCAATTTCTTCCTATCTTTCTTATGATAAGTTTGACAGTGCTCATCGTTATTTCCTTCTCAATATCACTACCTCTAAACTCCCTAAAACCTATAAAGAGGCTGTTCAATCTGAGTCTTTTCGAAATTCCATGAAATCTGAAATGACTTCTCTTGAAGATAGTGGTACTTGGTCTGTGTGTCAACTACCTCATGGCAAACAACCGGTTGGCTGCAAATGGATTCATACCATCAAGTATAATCCTGATGGCACTATTGAAAGACATAAGTCTCGTGTGGTGGCAAAAGGCTACACGCAATTGGAAGGCCTGGATTATCTGGACACGTTTTCACCAGTAGCAAAGATTGGTACTCTGCGCCTTCTTTTGGCAATGGCAGCAGCTAAGAAGTGGTCTATTACTCAGTTAGATGTGAGTAATGCGTTCTTGAATGGAGACTTGGATGAAGAAATATATATGCAGCTTCCACAAGGTTATACAGAGATAACTGGAAAGCAAGTGCCTCCTAATTCGGTTTGCAGGCTCCATAAGTCTCTTTATGGCCTGAAACAGGCATCAAGACAATGGAACTACAAACTTTCTGAAGTCATACTTGGAGCTGGTTTTAAGCAGACACATTCCGATCATTCTCTCTTTATCAGATACGTTAACAAGATCTATATTGCAGTACTTGTTTACGTTGATGATATATTGATCGTGGGTAATGATGATTCTGCGGTTGATGAGTTCAAAGGAGTTCTGAAATCTGCTTTTAAGCTTCGTGATCTTGGCTCAGCAAAGTACTTCTTGGGTTTCGAGATAGCACGGAA